ACGTCTGGAGCCTGTGCTCCGCAACGGGAGAGGCCACAACAGTGAGAGGCCCACGTACCGCAAAAAAAAAAAAAAAAAAAAAAAAATGCTTTTCTGCTGAACTGAATGAAAAAGCATTTTCAGAACCCTAAAAAAAAAAAAAAAAAAAAGCTTGACATAGGGAATTCCCTGGCGGTCCAGTGGTTAGGACTTGATGCTTTCACTGCTGGGGCCTAGGTTCAATCCCTGGTCGAGGAACTTAAGATCCCACAAGCCGTGTGGTGCAGTCAAAAAATTAAATAAAGTTTTAAAATTAATAAAATGCTTAACATAAACGCTTTATAAGCAAAATGAACGGGAGAATCATGTCCGGCCCCGGCACTGTGAGGTGACATGTGAACGGACTTGGTGGCAGCCTCTGCTCTGTGCCCACCAAGAGTGGCACGGACCACATATGTCATAGGCAGAGTCACATGGTCACTCTGGCCCCTTCTATTCCAAGACTTTCCCCTCCAAGCGTGTGTCAATTTCTCAGGCTCGTCTCACTCAGATGATTTTATCCCCACTTTACTTCTCCCTCAGCCCTTCCACAGGTAAAATTTCCACTTCCTGTTTCAGAATTCTCCATGCATCAGAATCAACGATGTCACCCCACTCTATTCCTAGCCATCTACACCCCCTCCCTTACTGAAAGTCAGTGAGAAGAGGAGAAGGGGGGAGGCACAGCATGGGAAGCACAGGGTGCAGCGCCCTGCTGTGGGCCAGACGCCTGGAGACGGCTGGGACCCCACGTTGGCAAGCAACACTCAGACGTGCGTTAAGACCAAAATGTGGTCTGTGTAACACTCAGTAAGTAATATTCAATACCTGAAACCACACCTGGGGAAACCATTTCTCTGGCTTCGTTGCTATGTATTTTATTTCCAGAAACTACCAAGCTGACACGAACGTAAGCTTTAGTCCTAAACCACTGTAATACAGACAGGCACCCCAAGCCCGCCCCCTCCCACTCCCCCGCCGTGGCCTCACACCTGGACTGGCCTCACCGCCTTTCTTGGGACTCACGGGTACAGACGCCTGCTCTCCGGGTTCCTTCTCTTTTCCCTTCCGTCGGATTGGACTCAGAGAAGGCGGGTTTGTTAGAGATGGCAAGGCTGCCTAAAATAGAAAACAAACTGTGAAGGAAGTGTAACCAACACAGAACTGAAAACTATGGTATGTGCTTCTGCCATTCACCCGTGCAATCCATTTCTCTTCTTTGAATCCACATTTATGAAGCTCAGACTCCGTACACGTACCATCCACTTTAGCCCACACAACAACTGCACGTGGTGGGAACTGACCCAGCACTTCCTAACAGGAGCACTTCCTAACAGGAGCACCATGAACGCTCAGAAATGGAGGAGCCCTCAGGCAGTCAGGCGGGGTCTCAGGAGGCCCCCGGAGCCCCGGCATGCCACCTCCAATAGCAAGCAATGGGGCTCTCTCTGGGAGCCAGGGCGTGAAACAGGGTACAAAGCAATGCTCTGAACTCCGTTTTCAAATGAGGAAATAGGCTCAGCGATGATGAAGTGACTTATTCAAGGTCACAGCTAACACGCTGCAGAGGTAGGAGGCAACAAACCTGGACCCTCCACAAAGCCCACACTCTGCATACACAGGACAGTACAGAACGCCCCAGCCCCACACGGCAGGAGGCAGTGGCACGGGCGCCTCAGCTCTGCTGCTCACCCACTCCGCGATCTGAGAAAGGCCACCCTACACCTCGGAGCCTTGTCTGCACAAAGGGCACAGTGGCTGACAGGGAAGGGCTAGAGAGACCGGGAACGAAGCTGCTGCACCTGGAAAACACGCTACGTGAAAGAAGCCAGTCACGAAGGACACCAGCTGTGTAGCTGCACTGACATGAAATGTCCAGAACAGGCAGATCTACACAAACAGAAAGTAGCTTAGTGGTTGCCTGGAGCTGGGGGGCATGGGAGGGCTGGGGGGTGACAGCCAAATGGTACAGCGTTCCTTTCTGGGTTCTAAAATGGATTGTAGCGATGGCCAAATAACTCTGGGCGTATTAAAACAGTCATACACTTTAAATGGGTGAGGTGCATGGTATGTGAGCTGCACCGTAACTGTATGATATGTTAATAATGTTGTTTCAGCGAGGCCACTGCAGTGGTGCAAAGGAGATACTACGTCAGCTTGGACCAGAACAGCGGCAGTGAGCATAGAGAAAAGTGTGTATGTGTGTGTGCACCTACATGTGCGTGTATGGATATGTGTAAATGTACATGCATGCATGCATGTACATATGTGGGCTTTCTGCAAGATACTTAGGAGAGAAAACAAAGAATTTGGTGAGCGGGATGAAGAGCTGTGATGACTCCCATTTTCCAGCTTGAAAAGTATGGAGTGAGAGACGGGGAGAGGCACCGGCTGGGGAGGAGACCAAGAAGTCCAGATTTAGGCCGAATGAGATTTCTAGGGCTCGCCCAAGTAGAGGTGACCCGTGGCAGCTGGCCACACTGGACTCCGAAGACAGGTCTGGGGTCTGCCCCGCTGAGATACTGAAGACTGCCCGGTCCCACGCTAGAGCCACGATCTACAGGTGGCTACTTAAATTTAAATTTAATGACAATTAAACAAAATTAGAAGTTCGGTTCCTCAGTTGCCCCGGCCACATTTCACGTGCTTGGTTGCCACATGTGGTTGGTGGCTACTGTCCCGGCTGGTGTAGATGGAACGTTTCCATCCTTACAGAGAGCTGTGCTGGACAGCCCTGGGCCGGAGAATATGGAGAGGGGCCGACTGAGAACAGAGCCCTGGAAGGCACGGATGGTGGGAAGAAGACTAAACTAGCAGGTACCCAGGCGGTAGAAGGGGGTCAGAGGATTCGGAAGCCAGGCAGAGAGAATGCCTCAGTACAGCAGAGGTGGTCCTGGGAGATGCAGAGGGGAGGTGAGACAGGGTCTGCGAAGCACCCACGAGAGTCAAAGGCGGGTCTTGGCAGGGAGCGTTGCTATGGGGAGCTGGCAGAGATCAGGCCAGCAGCGGTTAAAGAATCGAGGGCCGAAGCAGCGGGCTGAGGCCAGGGCCCGAGAGGTTTTGCAAAGAAGCCCAGTGCCAGAGAAGCAGTACAGTAATTCAGGGGTTACGCTGGGAGGAAGGACTCGAGGGAAGCTTGTAGCCGCAGGGGGACCAAATTGGCAGCTAGAGGAGAACCTGAGCTGTCAAGGTGGAAGCCACAGGAGAGAGCGAGCCGTCAAGATACAATTACGGGTGAACTGGCCCATCTTACATTCACTGTGTGAACAGTTTTCACTGAACTGTGCTTCAAAGAAAAGCAAAGCATCTCAGGAGAGGCCAGCTTCGATGCTGAGCTTTCCTGGCCAACGCCGACAGCCCAACAACAAAGCCAGCTATTTCCCTCTCAGAGGTGATAGTAAATGACAGACGATACCAAATGGGCTATAAATTGGATGAGCACATCTAGGTGTTAAATCTAGTGTCACGACATGAGCAATTTTGTTTATTTAAAGCAAAAAAGGATAAGGAAGGGACAGATGAATAAACAGAGGCACGCCTGGAAGCCCACGGAGCCATGGGGACCAGCTGAAAACAGCTGCCCAAGCAAGGAGTTACCTTTATTGCTGGTCCAGGAGCCACATCGTCCAGGACGTGCGCACAGATGTTGGCCACCTTCAGCAGGTGAGAGAAAAGCTGCTCCACCATGGGCACCAGGGTCCGCTCGCCCAGAGCCGGCCACACCTCCTCCTGCTTGGTGGCTGCAGGGCTGGCCTCTTCTTCGGAGGCCCACGAGCTCCTCAGAGATCTGGGGGCACTGGCTGTGATACGGGCACACACGTCACCTCCCCAGCTCCATAGCATGGGGCCAAGACGTAAGTCCTTCAGACCCAGCTATGTCGAGAGTCTGCTGGACACCTCCACCTGGGGGCCCACTGATGCCTCAGGTTCCACAGGAAACCGACATCTCCCCCCGAATCTGTGTCCCCAACATCCATGAAGGCCGCCGTCACATACCCACCCAGGATGTGACAGTGCCCCTCCTGATCTTTACAACTGAAGTTCAACTGCTGGTCCAGACGTGCTGACTCTGCCCCCTTCACTCTCTTTTAATGGGTCTCTTCCCACACAACCCACAGCCATTATCTTGTTCAGACTCTTGATCTTGCCTTAAGTGCGGGCTTCCCTAACTTCTCCTCCAATCCACATTCACGCCAGCCCAGTGATCTTTCTAAAATACTACGCAGATTGTTAGTCCCTTTCATGAGGCCCTTCGATGACCTCCCAGAGCAAACAGACTAAGTCCTCATTAACGGAGACGCATTCCCTCACCAGCCACATTCTCCATCGTCGTCCTCGCCCTCACACGATATCCAAAATTACTTAGTGCTCAAACGTCACACAATCTCTCACGTCTGTATGCCTTCACGTGTGCTGTGCCCTGTCTGGCGTCCCCTCTCCTGCCAGCCAGAAATCTCGCTTCCTGTCCTAATCCCCAACAGAGAGTGATTACAGCCGCTCCGTGCGGCCACTGAACTTCTGTTGACGTGTGTCGCCAAAAACCTACATTCAACTTGAGAACGAAGCCCACACACCATACTTTCTCATGGCCCCCGTGCCTGAGACAGTACCTGCCACAGGGTGCCCGCTAAAATGAAATTAGAAATGAGTTTACCTATAGCTAACTGAGGGGCTAGATCGGGAAAGGGCTGCTTTAAAATACTCGGCACAGGATAGCTGCCTGCAGTACACATTTATGCCACTCGGTAAAGTCTGAAATTCTGACTAAAGGAACAAGCCATCCCTGGCAATGACCTCAATACTTTTCCTCCATGCACTCACCGCCACCACCCCGCAAAGGAAATCACAAGTTAAAGACCTAGAATCCCTCTTTCAACTCAGTACCAATACCTGCAAGCAAGTTCCCGGCTAAAATCAAAGCATCTTGATGGGCTGAGAGATCCAGTGGGAACCAGGCTGATGAAAGCAGGGTCAGGATCATCGTGACCATGCCCACAGTACAGCTCTTTCTAGACTCATCAGAGGCGCTCAGTGGGGGCACTCTGAAAGCAGACAATTGCAAGATCGAATTACAGAAAAATTTTAAGATAACAGCCTTGCTTTCTCTTATGAACCAAAAGGAAGGCACATCACTGTTCATTTCATGCCAGCTCATAAAGCGATTTTACTACTGTGAACTAGCATCTTTCTTGTAACCATAGTCCCATGAAAGTCATCCGAGACAGGAAATCAGGTAGCAGATCTGACTGGAAGTATTGGAACTGGTTACTCTGATAACTTTTAACTCTCTTTCAACTGACTTAGCACGTTTACCCCAACACCAGAGTTGCTCTGAAGTCAGGTCTAATGCTGAATCTACGACACGGGAAAGCCATCACCCAGGACCAGAGAACGCACCTACTTCAAGCAAAGTTAGTTGGCCATACGCTGACACACACAAGAAATCTGCAGATTTCCTTCCAAATGTGACAGTGAGTTACTAAATGTGTCTCAGTTATCAGTATACATAACAAAAGCTTACTCCTTAACGCTGCAGAAGACTCAGAATTATCTCACAGATGCTATGAGGGCCACATCTACTGGAAGAAAATCATCTTTAAATGAGAACTGCTAATATAAATACAATAGTTCCTAAATTACTCTTGTAATTGTTTACGATTTTGCACGATAGCTCACATCTGATTTCAAACGAAAAATGTTTCTAAGTTTTTAATACATAGTGAATAATTTTGGAGAGAATCAAGCCAATTAGAAAAGTCTTTTGCCAGCATATGCATATTCCCTTAAATTAACCTGCAAATCATACCCTCAGATCCTCCAAAATGCTTAAGAGTGAGCATCTGACATCCATTAGAATTACAAGTAATTCAGTATTTCCCAATAGCTCCTTCTCTAGCTTCCCACACAACTAACAGGGCAGAAGCAAATATTCCAATGGGTATTTTTCCAAAAGGTGAAACTGTTAAGGTGAGACTTAAAAAGAAAGAAAGAAAGAAAGGGATCCGTATAACTATGTTTGTATCACATAATTGCAGACAGCCATGCGCCGAGGACAATACATACCCACAGTGCCAACCTAAACTCCAAATGCAAACTGGAAAGGCAGTTGACAGAAGACACAGAGCTTCACAGCATCCAAACTAAAGAAGAAAGGAATGAGAAAATCACACTCAAACACCAAAAAAGTTTATTAAGTTGAACCTCCTTTTTCCCTTTATAAAGAGTATGAACAATGAAAACAAAATTGGGATCTGTATCTAACGATAAGACATCTGTCCTCCCATGATACAAGTTCATACCTTAGAAGATACGGCTGGACAACTGAGATACAGGTTTAAGGAGGGTCGATTATATCCCAGTGAGGAGAGGCCAGGAGTGATGCACCTCCTCTGCCTCGAACTTTAACCATCATGCTCCCCGCCCCCACCAGGAATGCCCTTCCTACCCCACCTCACCCCACCCCATCTGCTCCAGCAGATTAATGTCCATCTTCCTAACCAGACTGAAAGAAGCACAAGGGCAGGGATCCTCTTTGTTTTTATATCCCAAGCCTAGAACAGTGTCTGACATATGTAGGCCACAATAAATACAAATAATGTTTATAATATTTTGAACAAATCAAGGGAAGACCAAACTGCAGACAGCCCAAACAATATTTAAGTTTGAAAGGCACTTATATACTTATCAAGATAGTCTAATCATAATTGTCTGAGTTTTCACAACATGAAAGCATTCCTTCTGTCACATAAAGTAAATGACAAGATTTAACCTGGTAATCAGCAAATTGGCACTAGTTTCGTATAACAGTCTTTTTTTCTGATTATGGAAGTTAGACTTGTTCATTTTAGAAAATTTGTGAATATCTTATCTTAAAAAGCATAATCATTCATAATCCTAAAATTTTGGAAATTTTCTGCCAATCATTTTCTTAAGTATGTAAGAAATGTGTTTAATGTGAACATTATTTTTCATAAGCAAGATCTGTCTGTGCACAAGCATACACAGTTTTGTACTGTGCCTTTTTTCACTCATTATAATCCAGATGATCATTCTACAGATTGTTCAAAATCCTCCAAAGCATCATGTTAATAAGTGCATAATAAACATATCACCATCTATACAGAATTTAGTTATAATCAGAATTTAATCAGTTTTGGACTCTTGGACATTATGGTTCTTTTACAATTTCAGCATCACAAAAAATGATACAGATAATCACATTACACAAAAATCTTTGTTGGCATTTCTGATTTTTTTCCGCTTCGTATGTATTATAAAGTCACTGAGTCAATTATTCTAGAGATATTTTAAACTTCTGATATACTACCAATTCAGATTATGGTAGTTTTTCTTTTCTTTGTTATGTCTTCCTAGACTGGCTGATTGATTGACTGATTGATTGATTTTAATTTTTTGGCCGCGACGCGTGGCTTGTGGGATCTTAGTTCCCAGCCAGGGACTGAACCCAGGCCCGTGGCAGTGAAAGCGCCGATTCCTAACCACCGGACCACTGGGGAGTTCCCCTGGCTGAATTTTTTTTACAATGAACATATTTAATGTTCAGAAAAAAAAGTTGTTTCCACTCCCATTGGAATAAACCCAGGTTTTATTCACAGAAGCACAATTTCTTAGTAAGCCGCACATATAAGAGCTCTAATACAAGCATCCTACCGTTAAGAATTGACCACACAAACTACTGAAAAGTAACCTCATTAAGACCAACCAAAAGAGTCTTACTGTGAGCGCCCTCGTGGTTGATGTGATTAGCTCATGAGAAACTGCTGCAATGACTCTCGAAAGGTTATTTTCCATAGTGACGTCTGTTATGCTTGGTAGTAGGTTATAGCCTCTATATACTCTAATGAGAAAGAGACGTGGAGACTTATAATCTACCACTGAAGCTTATGACATTTTCAAAATTCAAATGGCACTTAAAATTTTAAGATTAAAGGCTACAAGAGGTTAAAGCCGTCTTGACTTTTAAGTTAGAGAAAGACTGGGAATAAATGTGGTCATTATTCTAGGAAAATGGCTGAAATCACCCCTCTCCGCCTCCAGTTCCCAACACCACAGCACTGGAGCAATGCTGTCTTCAACACAGCCTTGCCTGCAATCTCTCTACGTGTCCAAAGCTGCCCATTTTTCAAGATTTAAGGTAAAAGAAATCCTTCATGAATCTACTCCTGATTCTGGACAAAAGAAAGTCCTTTCCCACTACAGTACTGCCACTTTTCCATACTCCATCCATGGCACGTGTCAATTTCAATCCCTCCTTGTAGTTACATACAAATTCTAATTCCCCAACTATATAAATGAAGCCCAAGCAGGATTAGCGTTGATTCACTTTTGTTTCCCTCAGTGTCCTGCCCTCAACAATAAAAAACATAGTCTATGTTAGTCTTCTAGTCTAAAAGACATAGAAAAGAATGGGCTGTGTACAACCATTTGAAATTGTATTTAAAAGACTCTCACAAAAAAATGTGAATAATAATAATTGCACATGACTGAACTAGCGATAACCCTAAATAACACTGACACTCTTTAACAACCTGCTCACCTAAACATTAATGTCATGACATAACTATACTCTTCATAGGTAACACAAATAAAGTGAAAATTTTAAGGACAAGTTTTTAGAGAAGACATAGCATTAGAGTCCTAGAGAAAAATAAAGCTGTCGGTATGTGGCTCATAACAAACAGATCATATGATTTACAAGGTCACTGCTGTGTGGCTGCAGCAGAGCTTAAATAAAGAGGCGGGGTGGTAGACCCTGAAAAAGAGAAGCGCCCCATCAAGGGAGGAACGCCTATTCCAAGCGTTTTCTCTAGAAAACACGAGGCTTTAGAGTGAGCCCAGGGCACGCTTTCCTCGGCTAGCAGGGGTACCTGGTTATGGTGCTGGTGGAGAAGTGAGATGGAGGCTGCGCCTCGTGCATGAGAAGCTTCAGGTGAACGCTGCTTTGACCTCTCGCCATGGCCACGACTGCGTCAGCCTGTCCTTGGTCGCACTTATAAAACAGCTTCGGAACAAGCCTGACATAAAAGCAAGGTTTATTTCCCTTAGAAAGTACCTGAAACCCACCTGTGATTCCCCTCCCTCCGGCTACCCACAGACACTTCCTTCGTCAGGGGAATTAAGACCAGAGGCTCGGATCGCTGGGCCACTCCCCCACACACCCGTTCTGAAAAGACCAGGCGCTGGACTCTCTTCCTGTCTGTCATACAGTTACATACATCTCTCTACACATAATTAAATGCTTTGATTTAAAAAACCTTGAAAGTTCTCTTTCTAACCATCTTGATCAGCATCAACAAGTGCGTGAAGCCAAGGTGCACAGGAAGCACTGAGTACAGGGCAGACCTGAATGCCAGGGGCTGTCCCTTACTCTCTTCTGCAATTTTGTCTGCAAAACCGTCCCACACACTCCCAGGTACAGAGCTCCAGCTGAGGTCCCTCACAAATCCAAAGTGAACTCAGAGGCAGAATGCAGGGGGCACATGGGCTCCTCCCTGCAATCAGCACTCGGCACACGCCCTGTGTGAGCACTCACACACCTACAGATGGGCCCATAACTTTTAGAAACAGTCAACTGTTTTATCACATTAGTTTGCAAACCAAGTGTCTTTAGTTAAAGTCTCTTTCCTCCATGAAGACCTGGTCATAAGTATAATTTTTTCCTAAGGTTTAATAAACTACTATCATTCACAGAAAATGGTAAAGATCCAAGATCTTTGATCAAGTAAGTTATATAAATCCAGTTAAATCCATGAAAAGGTACACCTCACAAGTAATCAAAGAAATGCAAATGACCACATTGAAAACCGAAAGAATATCCACCGAAATGTAACTGGTTTTCTTTTGAGTGGTTTGATTACAAAGATTTTTATTTCCTTCTTTACATTTTTCCTAAATTTTGTGCAGTAAACATGTATTACTTTTAAAACAAGATAAAAGTTACTTTAATAAGAAATACCAATGACTGCCTGAACAACTGACACATATTTAACTTCTTTTGACATACTGTTTTGGTGAGAAGAATCAGGCACAATCATATTCTGGGAGTGGGAGCATAAACTGATCTGTTTCTGGACAGTAATTTCACAATAAGTACCAAAACCCATAAAAATTCACTTCTAGGTATCTACCCATGAGAAATGAAAAGCATGATTCTTAGTAGTCAAAAAGTGAAAATAATAATACCACCTGGTGAATGTATAAATAAAATAGAGTATTATCTACGTAACAGAATACTATTCAACAATGAAAGGAACAAACACACCACGTTGCATGGATGAATCTCAAAAAGTAAGCAAAAGAAGCCAGACGCAAAAGTCCCATCTATTTATTATGTGATCTCATTTATATAAAACATGTAGAAAAGGCAAATCTCTAAAGTCAGGAAACAGATTAGTGGTTGCCTGTGGCCAGGTGAGAATTGGAAATTATTGCAAATGGGCACAGAAGATCTTTTTGAGATGATGGAAATGTTCTAAAATTGGATTGTGGTGAAGGTTGTACAACTCTGTAAATTTACCAAAAATCATTTAATTGTACACTTAAAATGAGTAAATTTTAAGAGATATAAAATTATACCTCAATAAAGCTATTAGGAAAAAAAATCAAAAAGCTTGCTTGGCCTACTAACTCAACTTCCAGGAATTAATTCTAAGAAAAAAAATTACACATAAACATTTATGTACAACAATAGTCACTGAATCATTATTCATTATTTAAATCAATAAAGATTTAAGATCCAACCAAATAATATTTATATAAGAATTTATCACAACTACATAGTGAAAAAGTGGCCACAGTTTAACTAAAAAAATTTTTAAACAATATTTACAGGCTTTATTTATCTCACACTATATGAAATGTCATGCACTTCAGTACGGAAATATGAATATATTTGAATAGAGGGTGCCGCCCCAGACAACAATGCCAGTTAAAATTTCTTTTTTAGAAGAGTATTTCCAACAGGAAGATGCTAATAATACATTATGTGGAAATTATCAGATAACAGAACTGCATGTACATTTTGTCCCAATTTTGAAAAAGAAACTTGTACATAGGATATACAGGAAAAAATGTTAACAGTGGTTATCTCCAACGGTAGAACTGAAGGTGATTTTTCCAGTGCTAGTCTCCATATTTCAAAATTCTGGCCATGAAAGTGCATTACTTTTATAATATGAAGCTAGTACTTTGTTGTTTCAATTTTCATTTTAGACCCTTAAGGTAGTGAAAAATAATCTTTTTTGATAGTTTAAGAGTAGCTGACTGTGAGCTCAAAAGATTTAGGAATACTGCCCCACGTCCTCTGAATTTTCCCCTCTCTTCCCATTCTCATATCATTTAGTACTTTAACCAAGAAAGTGAAAAGAGATAAAATACTTGGTAAGTACCTCATTAACGAAGCTGCAGCAACATGGCGCACCCTGGGGTCTTCATCCCCAAGCAAATAGATGACAATGTTATTGAGCACTCGTTCTTGCAGTTTTAAAAGCTTTGGAAAGAAGGATAATAAAAACAGATATAATCTCTGTGTTTAACTAAGTTTTAGGTCAGATATTTTGGAAAGCCGGTGAGGAAGAACTCAACATCACTAGTCCTAAAGTCACGCATACAATCACAACTTTCATGACGTCAATAAATACTTCATGTGAAATAAATCTAGGACAGAATGCATTCCAAGACATTCTACTCCACTAGGAAAGTGCACTTCCTGGAAGTTAAATCACGGCCTCACAAAAATGAAGGGCTTACCCCTGTATAATGATGGGCCCTTCTGTGTAGGTTTTCTGCTTTTGCCTCCAAAAAGCTCACCAACCTAACACAAAAGAACATATTTCACAATGAAACAATTTAGTTACTGAACAAACACCCACTGATGGCCTGCACAACTGACAAAGCAAGGAAGACGGCCGGTTCCAGCACATTAACCAAGAGCCAGGGAAGGCTCTGAGGCAGCCTTACTTAAAACAGCAGAAAGACTCATGTTTTCCAAACAAGTAGAATTTACACTGCTCTCCTGACTCCAGACTCAGTCAGACACTACTCGGGAAACTATTTTTCTTCTAAATGGATATAAACAGCTGTTATTTTGAAAGACCTAAGTGCCCTACAGAATTAGCTCAGACGGGCAGACTGTGGGGAGGGGGCTGAGACGCTGGCGCCTCCCGAAGACCGGAAGGTCCCCGCCCGCCCTGCTCAGGGTCCTGTCTGTGAGACGTAGGTGAAAGCAACCCCGACTTCATGGAGATGTTGTGAGGTTGAGAGAAGGTAACCCACAGAGGTCACCTAGCCCAGCCTGGCACGCAACAAGCACTCTATAAGTGGCGGCTTAAAAGCACAATATTCCCGGACAATAAAGGACAATTTCCCGTCTAAAAGAAGGCATAGAGAGAAATCATCTGGAAAGAAAACTTACTCTTAGAAAATGAAAACTGCAAGGCATCAGAAGTTATTTTTAACTGCAACACAATACAGATCAGCTAAGTTCAGTACAGCGTTAAGTGCACTCGTTTAAACAAGCACAAGTGACACAAGCTTCACTGTCTTAGAAGTTCGAGCTCTTTTATTCACACCACCCAAAACACCTAGATGACTCACAGACTACCAGAAAACCCCACTCCTCTGCCTGTACGTAAACATTCCAGGAAGGGGGCAAAGTCGAGGAGAAGACGGGCAGCGGCAGCCGTGCAAACCACTCCGATGCTGACACGGGTCACTTGATAAGTGTCACTACAGGCACCAGGGGACCGGGCCTTCCAACACCTGTTCAGACTTGGGAGCGGCTGTGGTTCGCCGACCCAACGAGCCCGACTCACTCACCTGAAGTCGATCTCTGCCACGGTCTCCAGAAGCTCCGTCCTCACCAGCCAGTAGGAGCTGCTCCGCAGGGCCAGCATGTCGGTGAGGAGCTGCAGCCCCCACTCGCTGTAGCTGCTGCTGCAGAGACTCATGACGCAGAGCTGGAAGGCACAGCGGGCGGCAGGTGGGCCTCCGCCGACCCCTCCCACGCCAACCCCTCCCACAGTCCCCACTCCGTCTTCCTTTCACAGCGACAGGGATGCTGCCCTGTTTCCACATCTCTCAGAAACACTTATCATATACACTCACCTCCAAAAACTCGAGTTGCAAAGTAAATGTGTCCCTTTCACAAAACTGTTTTCTTCCCCCCGTCTCTGCCTCTACCCTGGCCTCTCCTCCCAGACACCAACCTCGCCATCACCGACCACGCACCACACCGCCACCGCTAAACCTGAGCTCAGTCGCAGGCCCAGCACACGGGACACAGCACCCAAGCCCTTCCTGACGTGACCCTGCCCTGGGCTGCACGAGCGGACAGGACGGGGCTTCCGAGGCTGCACCCTCCCCCGAGCCCTGAGCACACTCGTGGGCAGTTCCACACACGGCCTGCTGCCTGCTGCCAACCCCCTTCCTTCTGCTCCAGCTAAGACAGACTGACTGAAACTTGGCAAACAACTCGAACTAAGGAACACTTCTGGCTGGGCCAAAGGGACGGTATCCCATAAATCTGACAATTGTAGGGTTTTTGTTTTGATTTTTACTGGTTAACTTGGACTGCTGTTGACTAGCCAGTTGTGATTTATGAACCAGCTGATATAAAGTTTCCTACCACATAGAGGACTGGGGCGCTCCCTCGACACAAAAAAACAAAGGGGATTAAATAACCCCTGTGCCTCACTTTAACTCTATCCATTCTATGGGCCTGAAAGAGTTGTTGTTTTTTTAATTCAACAGGTTTTACACTTAATGTGAGCAAGGTACAGACACCCTTTAGGGAAGGTATACTTCAAACAAATATTCTGAGATTTAAATCAAAGTCTATTAAACCTTAACTGTTGGCAATGCTTTCCTTCTAAGGCTGAGTGGTAGATACACAGATGTTTATTATTGTTTAGGATATCTGGAAATATTTAATGTTAAGCTCCAATTTTAACTGTAACATCAGTAAAATTTCCACTAATCAAAGAAGTGATTTCCACAAATGACTATGCTCACCCTCACAGCTGTACAAGCCAACTTGCAAGTAACAGAAGACTCGTCCTTCAAAGCTTTCTGCAGCAGGGGGATGCAGTCCGCCAGAGAAAATGTATTTCCTGATCGGAAG